GGTAGCTAATCGAGGAAGTGCTATAGTTCGAGATAGATGCAAGGACAATGTACACGTTTGAAGTAAAGTGGAACGAAAGAGAACAGGCGCAGCATAGATTTTCGTACGTGAATCGGAAAACATGCGATTGGATTGTCAAATAAAGCAGTCGTAGTCTATCTGAATGCTAACTGACCGCCCGTTAACTGGTCGCTTCCCGGAACCAGTTCAGCAAAACAAGTATAGCATTCGGATCTCTGAACACATACACACACACATGCACAAGCAATTGACAAATGTCTGAGTTCATTCAAGCGATAAGTACCATTCGAATATAAGGGGAGCTGAATACATCTGTCCTCCTCTGAGTCGCCACTTCTTCCCTAGTTTTCCCATTGCCCGCTTTTGTATTTTTCATACCCCTGCCGCTTATTTCGCTGCACTGCTCACGCTGTTCTCAATCATCTCAACCGGCTTTCTGTATTGATTGATGTATTGAATGGGACAATTTGTCGCATGGTTAGTTCGTTCGTTAGTTAGTTCACCCGCGACCACAAGCACAAACATCAGCATTTTCGTTGCTCCGGTATGGATTGCCTAAATTTGGAACACAAGTTTTGTTTTATTTGGGTTTTTTTTTGGAGCGGGGGGATAGGGTGGGGAGGGTAGCAGCTGCCATGCCCTGCCCTGCCCCGCCCCGCCCTGCCCTTATCAACAGTCTTGGTCGGTGTAAGCTTAGTTCTGAAATGTGAAAATTCTGTTCAAAGCCAGGAGCAAAACCAGGCGCATATGAGCGCATGAACTAAATCGAACATTGTCTTGGAAACCAACAATATTGCACTCAAATCCCATTTGGGTAAACGAGAGTTGTGTTTATAACACACTCCAAATTAAACAAAGCAACAAAGTTTACTCACTTTCTGTTGCGTTGGTTACCATTTGGAAACTGTGAACGGAACGGCAGTTTCAAATAGTTATGCAAACCATGTGATGGATATCCGCTCCAAGATGACTCGAGGCAAGTCACTAGCAGTTTTAACAAACAAATTGTTTCAAATAGCTGTGTCCACCGTGTCAGCAAATCAAGTCAAGTCACACAAACAAAAATCGCTTTATTCATCCCAATGAATGAATTTTCAGCTTCTTGCACACACCAGGATCTGTTATCATCGCATACAGTTACCAAGAAAAAGTGCAAAACAGTATTGTAAATCCAAAGGAATGCGGCTTAAACGTTTAGAAATAGATATCAATTGCGTAGGAATTTCAAAAAGTCTTCTCTATCGGATGCATTTTGAGCCAGAAATCTCGAAAGATATGGGGATGACGAACAAGTGATAGGCAGTGATACAAGCCTACACCAGTTTATAACGACATCTTGTTACAGAAGTGGATATGCATTGTTTAGGTTCTGTGTGTAATGGGTGAGTAGTGTCTGATAGAATATTGTTACAGAACTGATCGCAAGAGGTAAAATGTTTATCGGCGATAAAGTTAAGCAAGTGCAAATAAGGAATACCGCTTGTGAGAAAAATAATTTCAATTGACCGGTGTAGAATTGTGTAATCTTTAACTCTAAGACCGGCAAATAAAACTGGGGAGCAGTAGAGAAGATGAGCAACAACAGAATAATATACAAATTGGGCGAGTAATTACAATTACAATAAATAAAGAAACACAAACTTTGAATCTTTAAAAAATTAGAATTTAAATGTGAGGTCCAGGCGAGATCCTGAGAGATAGTGACACCGAGGTATTGCAGCGAATGTACTGAGGGAACAGGCTGGTTATCAACAAAATAGAGTACAGAACATTTCCTTTCAAAAGAATATAGCCGTTCTCCTTTGACGAGTGAGAAGAAGACGTTCCTACATTTAGAGGCATTGATATATCACCGATTTGAAGATGTGTAAAGCGGAAATCATCTTGGAATTTGGAACCAGTTGTGACATCATCATTTGGGTAAGTGAGAAGGTCACGAATATAGAAAGCGAAAAGAAAGGGGGACAAAATTGCTCGTTGGAGCACCCCTGAGTTGACCGGTAGGAAGTTAGCGGTTTTATCAAGAAACTTTGTGAACTGTGTTCTACCAGCAAAATAATCTTGGAGTAGAGAGAGTGTTTTATTGGACGTTCCAGCATCTTGAAGTAGAGACAAAAGCCTGCTCCTGTCAACACAGTTAAAAGAGTTACTATAGTCAAGGAAACATCCACGAAGTGCCCTACCGTGCATGTCTAGGGATCAAAAAACTGAGTTTACCAAGCAAGCGAGAGCATCTAAGGTAGAACGCTGTTTGCGATAAGCGAATTGGTTTTCATCTAGCTGCGCAGTATTGGGAATAATGTTAATGGGCATAAACTTTTCGAAAATGTTTAGTAAAATAGAAGTTCAGGCGATTGGTCGTGGTTTCTCAGCTTGTTTTTCGTTGACTGGTGTAATGCGCACAGGTCTCTNCGAACATTTATGGCACATTGAAGCAGCGGTTGAAAATACCGGTAAGTGGCTCCGCCAGATAATGCGCACATTCCCTGAGGACGACTGGACATAGGTCGTCAGGACCGGAAGGTTTTTGATATGTTTAGGCACTTCAGCTGTGCACGCACCTGATTAGAGTTGACATGTGAAACTTCACGATGGTCAACTGATTAGAAATAAGGATGCGATACTTCAGTTTTAGTTGACGTGGAAAACATGCAGTTGACTTCATCTGCTGTGGGTTGGAGCCCGCGTAGTCCAACTTTTGTTCCACAAAGTTTTTTTCATAGATCTCCAGATTTGCTTGCAATTACGGCCACCGAGAAGGGTTTCAGTGTAGAGTTTGCCAAGATATTGGATCTCATTCTTGACCAGCACTAACGTTTGTTTAACTAAATGTCGATCACAATTTTTATATGCCCATTTCTTGGTTCTTCTGAGGGTCTTCAAAGTGGGATAAGAAAATCTGACGGGACTGATGTATAAAGAGGCTATGGGGCAGCAGATGTCAAAGCAGAAGTTCAAATAGCTCGTGAGGTGTTCACGCTCGATCGAGATACTGGGATCAAAGAAATGATCCAAATTTGTGCCAGAGACCATTTCCCTCAGTGACGCCATGTGCACTGGGTCATACAGCCTATGAAAAATCTTCCGGCTAGATGTACGTGTCAGTATGCCATGACGTTTCTTTGAATAGACTGTTGGCAAAACATTGAAGATACAATGATCAAGTTTGACAGAGGGGCTCCACTTCGAATTGCCATGCTAAACTTCATAATGGTCAACTGATTGGAAACATGGATACGATACTTCAATTTGAGTTGACGTGGAAAATATGCAGTTGACTTCATCTGCTGTGGGTTGAGAGCGCGTAGTTCGACTTTTTTTCCGCAATGTTTTTTTTTGTAGCACTCCAGATTTATTCGCGATTCCGATCACCAAGTAGGGTTTCATTATAGCGTGTGTCAAGATTTTGCAGCTCAATCTTGATCAGCACTAACTTTTGTTTAACTACAGCTCGATCACGAATTTTTTTATACGCGTTCCTTGGTTCTTCTGACGGTCTTCAATGTGCGGGCAAAAAACAGTTGGCAGGACTGGTGTACATGTGTACCATGGGACAGTAGAGGCTAAAGAGAAAGTTCAAATAGCTGGTGAGGTACTCGTACTCGACCGAGACACTGGCGTCAAAGAACTGATCAGTTCTCTCAATGATGCTAAATCGGTTGAGTGGCACAGCCTGTGAAGAAGTTTCCGGCTGGATGTGCGTGTCATTGTAGCAAGATGTTTCTTTGAGTAGACTTTTGGAAAAACATTTATGATAGAATAATCGAAGTTTCCCGGAGGGGCTCCTCTTCGCACAGCAAACATGTCAGGATGGTTCGAAAATATCTGGTCAAGCTGCGCGTTTCCTCTTGTGTGGAAATTTACAAAATTGCAGAGAGAGAGAGACAAGCCAAAATATGAACATCTGCATGGGTTAAACCACCAGTAACAATAAAACAGAGTGTTCCGTGTAGTTAGAAAGTTCGGATATTAAGACCAGCAAATTTCTGTACATCAGAAGTTGTACTAGAGGGTGCAATGTAACTGTTTGATGCCAAGACGAAACGATATTTACTAAGGAAACGGACATTACATTCAACTAAAATACAGGAGATATATCTCACTATGTAGATGAAGATAATCTTTGTAGACTTACACCAAGACGATTTGGGGTAGGTTATTAGACCTCTGCTTTCGTAGTAAACAGTTTCTATCCAACCGATGCATATCAAGGAAATCCAACTCAACCAAAGAGTCGTTGATGTCAGGATGTAACCAAGTTTCTTACAGCATGATTTTTCATCCTTATCAATTTCTTGAAGTCGCTCATTTTTCCAAATATAGGATTGCACTTTTTATGAGCAAATAGAACGGATAGACATTTTCTGAGGTTTTATGTTACGTAAAGCCAGTTACCAGCCTGCTAAATGTTTTCTGAGGAAACCTGACCTAGACGCTCTGCATTTTTTGTATCTATTTTCAACTTGACGGCTGAACTGATAACGAACGCCATTCCTGCGCGATAACACTTAATGTTTCAAATTCTTTAAAGATTCCGGGTCGTAGGTATGTCAGGTTAGGTCAGGTATCATAGGATGGAAAAAACTTTTGCCAAGCGTCCAGATTCTTGTTCCGGTAGGAAGGTTTCTTCTTCCAAAGCGTCGAACTCGATTCAGTCACTGTCTGACAACTGTTTTCCGGACAGGAAACTGGTTCCAGTACGATATCCCTAAGGGAGATAAGTTGGTAAACAAGGAGCATGTCAACCCTAAACATCCTTAAACCCCGCTTTTATACTACCTCGGGGTATAGTTGGGTCCAAACCATGTTCAACTGCCTCCTAAAGTCGACTGTAGTCACACATTCCATCAAATGCGATGGTGGCTGATTCCATCTATCAATCACTCGATTCATGTAGAAGTTAAACTGCACACCGAGGCGAGCCCTTGGGTTTAAGAGCTTTAGACCGTGTCCCCTGGTCACCTCTACGGGCGTTCGAG